CACCAAAATCCTATGCACTTAATGTGTCAGACCATTACTCAGGTCATACAGGACCCAGAAATATATATATAGGGGTCAGGTGATGAAAAAAATTTTTTACTATGAGCTGTACGCATTTTTTCAGGGCCGGAATTATGATAATGACAGTAGGATACTATAATAAGAAATAAAATTCTGACTGGAATTATCAAAAATAATCTAAAAAAGGAAAGATTTTCATGATTTTTTTAGTTCAAAATACGCAAACTCAAACCTGACCCTTTTATATATATTTCTGGGTCCTGGTCATACTTGATATGTCAAAGATAGATTATTGAATTTGGTCTTGATCTTGAATGACAGTACTTATCTTCAATACAATCAACAGGTTGACTTGACTTAAATCAACTCTCACATAACTTTACGATGTTCCAAAGGTACCTACCTCATCGAATCTTAAAATAAAAAAGAAAAAAAAACAAAATGTTAGTAAATGTTTCGTAAAGAAATCATTTAACAAAAAACCTCCCTATCAAAATCTATCCCACACATCCAAAAATCTGAAAAATTGCCTAAGAAACGAACTGTTAGCAAAGTTTGTTAAAAAAAAATAAAGAAAAAAATCTGATTTACTTGCCAAAATCTCGTATCCAAAGTTAAAATTCAAAATCCAAAACCCAAAATTCACGTGTCCAGACCTGTCTAAAGAAAGAAAAGATGTAACATTAGAAAATTTGAATAAATAAAATTTAAAAAAAAATTTAATTTCTCACCATAATTCTATGTCCAGATCATTCTAAAAGAATTCTTATAACAAATTCACGCGTCTAGGACTGTTTACTGAAAGAAAAAGAAAAGATGAACATTAGAAAATGTTCAAATCTTGAAATCCATGTTCTATACTCATCTAAGAAAATTTTCAATTTCACCATTTCCTACCAAAATCCACATTCTAGACCTGTCTAAAAAAAATTTTCTGAATTTTACTGAGATTTACGCATCCAGACCTGTCTAAAAAAAAGATAAAAATTCCATTAGCCTTAATACTATGACTATAAATAAAAAAGATAATAAAAAAACCCTTGCCTAGTACTGAATTCCAACGCATCCAAAGACTCAAAAGTTTGTCTAAAAAAAAAAGGAAAAAATGAACTGTTAGTGGTGACCATTTATTAAAATAAATTAAAGAAAAAATTTTTTTTGAAAACTTACAAAATGTACACCCAGAAAATGAAATACACCTAGCAAAAGAAGAAAAAATTGAAATGTTATAGCGTTTCATTATAGAATTTGAAATTTTTTTTTCATGGGCTTTTTTAAATAAATACGATAAATACGAGAGGAGGAAAGGATAAAGGAAGAAAAATGGTTTATTTTTTTATAAATAAAAATATGACAGTTAAAAACCGTAAAAAAAATAAATAAAAAAAAATTTTTTTTATAAGAATGAAGGAAGGGAAGAAGGATAAAACAAAGGAATGAGAAAAAGCGAATAAAGGGAGTTGCTTAAAAAAGTTTAGTTTAAATTTTTAAAATCAAACTGGCAGTAGTAAATAGTAATGAATTGATCACGTAATATTCAATATTTTATTTTTAAAGTATAATTTTATTAATTTCATTGTAAATTGTCTTGTACAATATATAAATAAAATATTATATTAGACTTTTAATTGCATCTATATTGGAAAAAAAAATTTAACTAAAAAAAATTTTTAAGATCATACATACTGTATTCTCCAATTGTACGATCAATTGTATATCATTTATCACGTGATATTAACAATAAAACTGCCAGTTCATGCTGGTCGAATATCTACATCACGCGTTATGGCCGTTACGCATATCAAAAGTTTAAAAAAGAATCTTATGCATTCTGTTTTAAACTTTTATTCCTTCCTTTCCTCGTCCTTTGGCTCTATAGGCGCGGAAAAAAAAAATTTTTTTTTTTATTTTTTTTTAAAATTTTAGTGTGGCTTCATCTTTCCCTTCCCAGAATACCGGTCAAAACTACACACCGGACTTTGGATAATAAGGTAAATGGGAGGGGAAGTCAGTTTTTTTTTTATTTTAGAAATATTTTAACGTTTCTTTTCTTTCTTTTACTTGCAGGTATTTATGTGAAAAAAATAAAAGAAATAATAAATGACGCAACGAGAATAATGAAGCAAAAGAATGTAACAGAAAAACAAATAACGGATATATGGAATATGGTTATTATACCGAAAGTTGAGTGTATCAAATGATGGTGTAATCTTCTTCGTAGTAGTTTTTTTAATATTATGAACGGTTTACTAACCATTCTTGTTTTCCATATAGGTTTCGCAGGAAATAAAGGGCAAGAGAAAACGAAAGGGAAAGTGAAAATGAAAGGGGAAGTGAAAACGAGAGGGGAAGCGAAAAATGAAAGGGGAAAAGAAACAAAAGGAGAAGCGAAAAATGAAAGAAAGCGAAAAACGAGAGGGAAAGGGGAAAACGAAAGGGATAGGGTAAAAATGATAAGGAAAAGGAAAACGAAAAAGAAAGGGAAAACGAAAGGGGAAAACGAAAGGGGAAAACGAAAGGGAATGAACTTCCGAAGGATGGAAAAAAGCCAAGATTCATCTTGGTTTTTTTTTTATTTTTTTTTAATATTATGAGCGGTTACTAATAACCGTTCTTTTCTTCTTTTTTTAGGATCGTGGGCTTCCGAGTTCCGAAGAACGGAAAAAGCCAAGATTCGTAAGTACGAATCTTGGTTTTATTCTTTTATTTTTTTTTGTGATATTAACGAACGGTTACTAATAACCATTTTTTTTTCTTTATTATTTTAGGTTCGGGTTGGCTTCCGAGTTACGAAGAATGGAAAACCCCAAAGATTCGTAAGGAATCTTTACTTTTTTTTTATTTTTGTATTTTTGTATTATTACAAACGGTTTACTAACCGTTCTTGTATTTTTTTTATAGGTTCGGGAAGGCTTACGAGTTCTGAAGAACGGAAAACCAAGATTCATAAGTAAGTACGAATCTTGGTTTTTTTTTTTGTTTTTTTTTTT